CCCAGAGATTTTAGGAAAGGATTTTAGTCCTTCACCTTAGTTCTGCAGCTGAGCTAGAATTTCAAACAAATATTAGAACAGACTCACAGACTTCTTAGCAAATTCCTTTGGTTTTTTTAGCAAGGCTTTTCAGATTTTTTTTTTTTTGCCATGGCCTTGGCAAGGTCTACGTGACAAGCCCAAGGACATGCAGCTGGCTTTGTGACTAAGGCAGAAGACATGATCTCTAAGCTTCTTGCCTGATGCCTTAACTACTACATCATACTGGCTCTCAGGTCCTCCATTTTGGAAAAGCACATTTTTGACCCTAGTTATTTAGTGGAGTAAAACCTGGTGTTGCCAGTAATTTTATGAACAAATTTCATCAAGGTATAGATCAGGGATGTCAAACTTCATTGAGGGCTGCATCAGAGTTGTGTTTGACCTCCTAGGGCTGAGGTGGGCATGGCCAAGGCATACATGGCCTGCTTGATGTCACTCGTTCAGGGGCGCCTGTGGCAGCCTGAATGTTCTGTCAGAGAAAACAGGCTCCCGATATCCGTTTTTAGCTGGGTTGGCCTCCTGCAACCCTCTGCCAGTGAAAACAGTTCCTGAGCTCCATTTTTGCTGGCCGATGCACCACAGGCCTGTCTTTTATTGTTTCCAGGGCAGCCCCACAAGCCAGATCTATGCATCCCATGGGCTGGATCCAGCCCAAGGGCCTTGGTATAGATAATGCATGAGCAAATGAAATATAGTCCTTTATCAAAATAGCTATGAGAAAATAAATAAAAAATTTATTGAACAATCTGACAGATATTACTTATGTTGAAATGACACAATTATAGTAAAGAAATGATGGGTGAAGGAAAAAAAGAGATGAATTTAATTCCCATTTCCTAATGCACAGTTTCTTTTTATCAGACCATTGTTTCCAAGACTAAACACAAGCTCATGGATAAGAAAAGTTAAATTCTTGCAACTTTTTTGTAGTCACTTCAAACAACAGTTTTGAAAACTTTTAACACAATAAAACTTTGTTCTCATTTAGCTTAAGTGGAAAAAGCTGATAGTAAGCATCAAAGCAACAGCTCTCCCTTGTGACTAACAAAGAAGACAATTCTTTTGTTCTTAAATATTTCAAGTCAAGTATCCAATTATTTTTGTGTGATAATTAATGGTTATTAGGAATGTATAAAAGGATGGATTAGTCATTCTTGTAGGAATCATTAATCACAATGCTATGACAAGAGGATTTATTATTATGAATAATAATTTGTAATTATTAGTATTATTATTTAAGAGTTAATAATAAATTTGATTCACAGTCTGGGACTGGTAAAAACTTCAAGTTCTAACCAGGGATGTAAGACCTGTTAAGGTAACATCGGAGAATATAGGGAATTCTGATTAAGATGTTTTTTTGCGAAGTCAGAATATTCAGGTCTAATAAGTTCAAAATTTCCATATATCTAGGCAGCCCTTTGTGTATTGCTCCACGGGCTCCTATTCCTATTGGTGCAAACATTGATTTCTTCCTCCATAATCGCTCAACTTCAATTTGTAAACCACAATATTTCTTTATTTTTTCTAGTTGTTTTTCTTCAATTTATGCATCACCTGGTATTACAATATCAATGAACCAGATTTTTTTTTAATTTTCAAGGCCAAACGTCTGGTAAAGCTTATGATTTTGGCAACTGTAGATGTTAATTGCAGATAATCAGTCTGTGAAATTTTGCTGCACCACTGGATGATGATGATGATTTGATGCTTTCAAGTCGGTGTTGACCATTTTCAGAAATGGATTGTCTTTGCCTACTTCCTAGAGCTGTGAGAGTGTGACTGATCAAGTGTGCCATTTGATTAGTTTCATGCATAAGGAACAACTAGATTTCTTGGTTTCTAGCCTGGTGCCTTAACTATGACCATATACCAAGCTGGTTCCCTGGCAAGTGAAATATTGAGATTTATATTCTAATAATTTGGGGGAGGGGGAGTTACATTAGATTCCACTGGATGTATTACTTTCTCCCCTCCTGTAGCATTCAAAGTCTACATGAAAGCTCTGAAAGAGATAATTGGGTGCCAATGGTGAGGTATCACCAGTATAAACCTTTCTGCCCCAGAAACTTAAGCAATGTTGTTTATGTCCTATCCTGGTGCCATGGAATGTGGGAGCCTGGGAAAAAAACCCCACGGGATTCAGCTGAAGCCTGGTAAGACTAAGTGACTCTGAATATCGGAGCCTTCCATCTCATGGTATGAAATCTTTAGTGTTGGATGCAATTGCATTGCCCAAAATAGACCCAGTGCACAACTCAGTGATCCTCCCAAACTTGTGATTTGTGCTCAAAAAACTAAATCAATCATGATCAGGTGTGGGTTTTTTTTGGCAGCTTTGCATTATGCGCCAGTGTTTTTGCAACTACTCCTGGACTGGGAGGCTCTGGCCAGTCATCCATGCCCAGCTTATCTCCCAAGTGGACTACTGTAATGTAATCTATATGGGGCTGCCCTTGAAGAAAATTTGGAAGTTTCAGCTGGTGCAAAATGCAGCAATGGGAGCAATTATGTATATCCCTAGAAAAGGGCTGTCAAACTCACAGCTGGTCACGCCCATGCCTGGTTTAGCGAAATCTAAGATAGTATGCCATCTGACAGTTTCCTCTTGAAAATTTATGGAACTAGCCAATAACTCGGTATTGCACATGTATTTATTTATCCCAATCCTGTAATCCTAGAAAATCCTGTAGTCGGGACCACAGTGTTGTACTGTCTTGCGCAACGTCACAATTCTTTTATTCCTCCACAAGAGGGAGCGCTGTGAAGATGTTACTGTCGTGTCCGTCGCGGGAAGGAAGCTCAGAGTCAGTGACTTGGTTT